TAATCAAACAATGATAAAGAAGTTGACTACTCAATTTTCACATTGATTTCTCTCAATTCTACCTTGATGTCCTGAGGTTATATAAAATGAAATGGAATGCAAAACTAACTAGCTCGTTTCGAAAAACTGATATTTGATACAGAAATGCCTTTTAGTAAAGCATTTAAAACTTGAGACGATACAAGAGACTTTATGTGATGTTATCATGAATGATTATAAAAGCTGCATTCATACGCAGTAATCGACAAATATTGTTTCTGGTAAAGACTGAAAGACACACATTTTATTTTTCCAAAGCTGCATTCATACGCAGTAATCGACAAATATTGTTTCTGGTAGACTAAAAGATACACATTTTATTTTTCCAAAGGGTGATAATTACAAACTATTGCTAGAGAGAAATATATGCAGAGCCAACAATTCTTGTTACTGGAGGCATAATTGATAATTCGACACTCAACATTAGTATTTACAACTACCTTATAGCACGTAAAGCGTTACTAGAATGCAAGAGCATTTGTAACATGTGCATGCAAGAGAACCCACGGATAGGTGGCCAGGATTACAACATTTTCCTATCACGACCTTCGTACATACTTACTGTTCGAAGTTGTCGTGGATGGAGTTAAGCAGATTGGCTTCCTTGTCAAGATACAGCCTCGTGTCATCTAGAGTGTTGTAGAGTGTGTAAAACTGCTTGGTCTCCGTGTGCTTTGATCCAACTGCAATGATCATCAAGATAATTATAATTCTTTAGCAGCCAAATGAACCGAGGACTTGGTCGCGTTGGCACGGTTCTGCCACTGGTGCACAATGTACAAGCTTACAACTTTACTTTAACAAGGGCATATGTATGAACCTACTGCATGAACCTGACAATACAGGGGACAGATTTTACCTACACTATACCTGCTTACAACATACATAGGTAGGAAACGCACTGAGACGAACAGCAGATATACGGAGCACTAAGCGAAGTCTTTACCCGTATCGAAAACCGTTAAATTTAAGAACTACGGGGTAAAGCAAGGGTAAAAAAAATACGCCGCGCATGTATAGCTGTTGCATTATAACCATTCGACGCAACACTGCAGAGTGAGAGTAAGAGTGAGAGATATCGTCATCACTGCACGTGCCATTACGCAAGTAAATTCTAGCAAGTGTAGTAAACGCAGTAAGCGTAGTAGTAGCCGCTAGTAAATTCTACGCAGTTGAGCATAAATTCTAGCGAGCGTCGGCTTGCTAAACCACGCCGACCGCGCGAGCGGCCACACCCCTAGAGAGCTCCTACCCTGGTTGTACAGCTCGACGAAGCGTCGCTGGTACTGGCTGAGCTCTGCGCGCGTCGGAACCTCGTCGATCTGCCGCTGCAGGGTAGCGACGTCCCGGTTCTTCCTCGCCAGCAGCAGACGGATCTTCTGCAGCTTGTCGCGGTCCGCGCCGAGCTGCTTGTCTATCATCGCACTGCGCTCCTGCACCAACACACATCAACATAGCTGGTGGTTACACTATATATGTGTATGCGTGCGTGCGTGCGTGCGTGCGTGCGTGCGTGTGTGTGTATGTGTGTCGTGGTCCATGCCGAGCTGCTTGTCTATCATCGCACTGCGCTCCTGCACCAACACACATCAACATAGCTGGTGGTTACACTATATATATGTATGCTTGCGTGCGTGCGTGCGTGCGTGCGTGCGTGCGTGTGTGTGTATGTGTGTCGCGGTCCGCCCCGAGCTGCTTGTCTATCATCGCACTGCGCTCCTGCACCAACACACGTTAACATAGCTGGTGGTTACACTATATATGTGTATGCGTGCGTGCGTGCGTGCGTGCGTGCGTGCGTGCGTGCGTGCGTGCGTATGTGTGTCGCGGTCCATGCCGAGCTGCTTGTCTATCATCGCACTGCGCTCCTGCACCAACACACGTTAACATAGCTGGTGGTTACACTGTGTTGATTGCCCGCATACGTGTGCAGTGAGCTGTGGCCCATGTATTTAGTGATGACCTCAGAGACACGATGTAATCAGCCTGTTCAGGGTATTCATTATCATTTATGCCAAAATTTAG